GTCCTGGACATTCTGTAGGCAGACCACACAATTTCTTGAGGCCCCAGAGTGGTTTTAGAGAAGAATGCTTTAAATACCTTGGACAACCAAAAAGAGCAACCAAGCGGTTTTGAAAAAAGGCGGGAGCCCGAAAACAACTTATCACAGACATCAAAATGAGACAGTCATCATTTTTCGGCCATGTTATGAGAAGAGGGAAAATGGAAAATGTTGTGACCACTGGAAAGATCTGTGGAAGGAGGGATAGAGGAATACAACGAGAGGAGATTCTTGACAGCCTGGTTGCATGGCATGGAGGTGTGTCAACACACGAATTGATACATGCTGCAGGAGATAGCGGATTGTGGAGAGGCATGATCGCCCAAACCCAGTCGACAAGATGATGATGATACAATCAATATTATAGCGAACGTTATCGCCAGGACGTTTCTAAATCCATAATCGACGAGGGTGGCCTTTAAACCAGGTGTTACAAATTATCAGGTTATGTGACCCTGCCCAAGCTAGTAATCTTTCCCCTCTCTTATTCTTTCCTCCTAGGCTATAGCCACCAGCTACTCCTCATACTTATTCATTTCCCACTATTGCGTTGAAATCGCCTATTATTACTGTAAGTTTAAAATTATTGCACTGTTCAGAAACCATGTCCAAATAATTAAAAAATTTATCAGTATCATCTTCAGAGCTTTCTGCAGTTGGTGCATACACCTGTACTAGGTTTATGTCAAGTGGTTTGCTATATAGATATTTACCGATGGTACCCTGTCTGAAATAGACACATATCCTTGAACAGTTTTTGCAGATTGTGGTTCCAGGATGACACCAACACCATTTGTATATTCCTTCTCACCTCAGTAAATAATTGTTTATCTGAATTCTTTCCCCCTACACTTGGCCAACGCATTCCACCAATTCCTAATGTTTTGATATGCGTTCTCTCCAATTCCTTTTTGATGTTGTCCAGCTTTCCAGTTTGTGCAAGTGTTCTGACATTCCATGTACCAATGTTTAAGATGTTATTTTCTCTACAGTAGCTGGATGACAGTCGGGTAACACCCGTAGAACATGCTGCTCCATAGCGGACGAGGGAATTCTATTAGAACCCCCATTAACGTCGTTTTCTGAACTCAATTGGTTTACAGGCATGATCTAGTAGGGAAAATACAGCGGTGGTTCCCTGACTTTCGCCGGTTTGTTTATTGTTCAACTCCAATTGTGTAAAGAGACATACCCTTTTAGGCGGGGGGGAGGGGGGGGGGGGGGTAGAAAAAGCTCTATAAGGACACTCTGAAGACTGCTCTCAATCCTGTTGGCATCAACATAGCGACGTTGAAGGCTGCTGCACAAGACCCTTCTGGATGCCGTCAATCCCTCAGGCATGGTGCATCGGCCTGCCAGGCAGTGGAATTTGCACAAGCAGAGAAAATGAGACAGAATAAAAAGAATCGTACTGCTAATCCCACACTTACTGCAGCTTCCATCTGTTTTCCTTACTGTTCAAGAACTTTCCAGGCTCATATTGGAATAATCAGCCACCTTCATCACCCGTGATGGACGAACAACACTTTGCCTAGCAGTCATTGTTGTAATAAGTTGTGACTGGCTTTTTGACGGAGTTTTCACCGTTTTTTTCTTCTTCCGGAATTTTCATGTTTTGATATGTAACTAATTCTTGGTACAAAAGCGAATTGACAGTCTAAAATTGCTGCCTCTGACTGTTTAAAGATCTTTTTGAGCCGTGGGTATGTTTTCTCCCAATTACCATTATACTTGCGATTGCTGTCATAAGATACTTCTCATTTTTTGGATGACGCGGCCATTAGTAAAAGTAATAAAATCTATCACAGTTAGAACTAGGTTTAAATAATCTCTACTTTCTATATTCAAATAGTTTCTGAACAGTCTGAATTATTTAGCATCAATGGTGGGTTTTAGTTTTATATCCCGCATTTATTCTAGTAAATTAACATTTTCTCTTAGTACCCCCACAACCAGCACAGATGAGTATTCCAGGCTACATGACTCCGTACTGCATGAAATGTCAACAGGCAATGGTTTATCCATGAGCTGTTTTTATAACAGGGAAGACAACACTCATACACAGGCTGCTCATACATTAAGGGATGACGCGAATCTCCCTGAGTCCGTTTACTAGCGTACCAGGACATCACAACCAAGACAAACTGAAAAAAAAAGATATTAAATGTAGGCCTAATCTGCTGTTAGTAAATTAGGGCGTTTCCTACGGAGGAACCATAAAAAAGGCGTGAACACGTCTAGTGTAGAAAAGCCAGGAAAACCCTTAAAAAAAACAGTTCACTTTTTAAAAAGCCAGATTTGTGGAATCTGGCTTAAAAAGAGACAAAATGTCAACCATGGGCAGCAGCAAACAACACCCACATCAGAGCTACCAATACTGCCACCCCCCCCCCCCAATCTTGGTTTTTATATGACGCCTTGGGGAAATCTGATTTTAAAAAAATACATCCTTATATAAAATGTTTAGTTTTGTAACTATACATTTTAACAATCTGTGTTTTTTATTTTGTTTATGTATTGCTTGGGGTTTTTGTTCAGCTTAGCTGGGTTTTTAAAAACAATCCCATTGGCAGCCCTGACCCACATGTGACAGTTGTGCAGCAGTTGGTGAAGAATTTGCGTTTTTCCCCCGGTGCACAAGCGCACCTTGTGTGAACAGCGAAAACAGTCATACCACCCCTAGAATCGTCAAGGGGATTCGGATTTCCCTTGTTTGGGGTGGCCTAAAATTATAGTACCGGCCCAAGGAGAGGGGATGCAGCTGGTTCCTTGTTCAGGGGCCCCTGCAGTTTAAAGGGGGGCCAGAAAGGGGAATATTTTTAGAAAACAACATTTTGGAAAAGAAAGACAATATACTGGACACCCGGTACTTTGCATGTATAGCATGCAAATATAAAATAAAAATCTTGAGCATACAAATCAGTTTCTGGAACCAGCACAGCATGTAATTATTAAAAAAACATGGGTAAAACTGAAAACAGCGTCCGTAGAGACAGAGATACAGAAAGAGATGATGGGAGAGAGAGAAAGATAGGAATGAGGGACAAGGGGTGGAAAGTGAGAGGGCGGAAAGAACAGAAAGTCATGATGAGGAAAGAAGAAAGAAGATGGATTAATGTACTTCAAATTAAATTCACTCTAAACAGAGGAAATCCCGGAGTTCCAGGGATAGTCCAAACATATAATGTGACATCAAGGTGTTTTCTTTTGAAGTTTATTTGAGTTTTCTTTATATAATGTGTGTTTTGCTAACAATAATCACAAAGCCTAACCCGTGCTAAATATAGCTACCAGGTCTGTTTGGGGTGAATTAAAACTGATGTACCCAAATTTGAATGTTTAATGAAGAATTGAAATCACAGCACTCAGGACACTAATAAAGTGCTCCGTCCCCATTTTCAGCAGCAAGCAAAGAGTTCCAATTCTGATAGCACCAGTAACTGTCTGTATATCCATCTTACTTTCTGCCAGATTGCCTGACAACTCCTCGCAGCGCCATTCTCCTCAGACTGTAATGATCTGTTTGTGGCTCTGCAGTGTTCACTTGCTCCCAAAGGGCTCTCACATCAACCTTGTCACAAATCAATTCACCAAGTGGTGCAGAATTAGACAGTCTTTCTGCCTGCACTAAGTAGTATTAGTAACTTAGAAAATCTGCAGAAAATATCCAAAGGACGTTAACAACCCAGGACCTCTGAAGCCTGCCACTCAGCAGGCAGCATGCCTGCTTCCATCTATCTCAACATGCTCGGCGAGTCAGCTACAATTACGATATGTGTGCACAACTGATTCTCAAGCCTGTGCAAGGCAGAGTGACTGCCTTCACCTCAATTCTTAAACTAGGTGTTGTGACTCTAAACTACGTCCATTCGGTTTTTTTATGAGCCTCCACGCACATCATCTGCCCCTCAACACAGAGCCATCTGTATAGATAATCACATCACTTGGGCGGGAATTGTCATTAATCATTTGTTGAACTGGTTCTGCAGCACCAGCTGGCCAGTCCCTGCACTCAAGATCCAAATGAGAAAGAGAGAAAACACCAATAACCACACCAAAAACCGAAAGAAAGGCTTGGGGGGGGGGGGGGGGGGGGGGGACTCTGCCCACTACTTTACCCCCAATGCAAACCATAAAAAAAGTGTAGTGCGATTCCCACAAATAACTACGCCTCCGTGTTTTGTGCACTTTACTGGACATTACTGGGCACTCAGGTTTTGAAAACAGTTCAAACTACTGCAAATAGGCCTAATAGCTGTTACTCACATATCCATAGTCGTCAAGTCTATATATTTCCTATTCAGCTTACATTTTCCATTGTTTTCATTGCTATCCGATTTTTATATCTGGGCACATCTACCAATTTTGGTTGAAAACAACATTCAGGCATGGTGCAACTCAAAAATCAATGACCCCTCACTTAACACTGTACAAAACAAATAAACAATGAGACAATGAACTGCAAATCGCTTGCCTGCTTACAGAGTATCGGAAATTACTGTACTCACTTAAAACTAGGGTAGCTGACAAATGAGTGCCCGCACACAGTTTACCAGAAATGAGCATTTACATTTTAAATTTAAGTAACTCCAAAAGCCCTATTGCTGAAAATCACAAGACATTTTTCATCTGTTTTCATAAAATTACTGAGTTTTTCTAGGCCCCGAGAAGGATAATGAAAGTTTCTGAGTTATTCCAGGTTTCAAGGTCCGCAACGAGCTCTCATGTGTATAAGTTTTAACAGTACTTGATTTGCCCCTGTACATTATATTCTTGTTTTACTATTCACTCTTCTACCTGAAGACTGGCTCAAACAAGTATACACTATTATAACTGCAACCCTAATTATTGAAACCTATAAATCCAATCAAATATCTAATTTGCCTCCTGATTTACTAGGTTAAAAAAAAAGCACAGACAATGTAAAATGCCCCTTCACAACAGTAACTGCTATAAATAAATTATGGTTTTTTAAAACCATGAACAACTGAAAAGATTGTCAAGTTTCCTTTGGCTGATGGTGCCAAATGGTTCCATAGGTCTTTATTTTGTGTATCTAAAGATGCAACCTCATTCAAGGGAACAAATGTAATGTTAGTTGACTCATCTGCTTCCTGCTGATTGCCTTGCTTGTATAGAACTCTAACATCTTCACTTGAAATGCAGCATCTGTATTAATTTCAAAATGTAAAAGAATTCACAATAATGTAAAAGTTTTCAGTAATACGAATTAATAATAAGTAAGAGCAGTAAACAATATACCACAAAAACATTAGAAATCTATCCAGATATATTCAATCACAAATTATGAAAGTTCATATTATTTAACAACTAAGGAAAAAATGATTTAAATGAATTACTAAAAACTGAATGAAATAAGGTGACACACTGGGTATTATGGTTTAGCATGATCTTCAAATCTCTAACACAGAATGGCACCTGTCAGTTCTACAAACAATTGTTAAACCAAAAGAGATGCAGTTTGTAGACTTGATGAAACAGCTAATTCAATTAGGCTCTTCAGTAGAACAGACTATAATGCTGTGGATTACGGGTCACTGTGGCTTGGAAGGTAAATGAAAAAGCAGACAGATTGGCCAGAAGCGGCAGTAACACCATACAATCAAATAGTGACTTAACCCTCCAAGAGACTAAGACATTAATACAATCTAGTATCCAAGAAAGGTGGCTGAATATACACACCAAATTCTCTCAAGACTTACTTCATCGCCTTTCTTGAGGGACAATGTATTACAGTCAGACTAAGGACAGGGCACAACAGACTGCGTCAACATGTGTTAAAACTTTTTGGTGAAGTAAACACAGAGACATGTTCTTGTATTGTCGCACCAGAAATTGCTGAGCATGTGCTCCAACACTGTCAACTGTATGCTGCCAGCAGAGACGCAGTCTCCAACCACAATGAAGACAAAACTGTATGGTACATGAGGGGATATGGACGGCATGATAGCTTTCATAAAGGCTGCTGGACTCCTGATATAAATTTTCTGACATAAGGATCAAAGGAGAAACTGACATATCTCTTGGTACTACACAAAGCCTCACACAGAGAGTGTTTCCTGTGTGCTGCCACCTTAAGGTACATTTTTGCCTGAGGCACCCTGTGTCTTTCATATTCAAACAATAGGCAAGTCCTTTGCCGCATGCAAATTATTGATCTAACCTAGGTGAGATTCCCAAAAGATCTCATATCACTTGATTTTGCATTGGTTCCAGTTTTTCTAGTCGGTTGTAAGACAATGTAAGCAGTCCCAGGTCATACACCATCAATGACAAAACTCAGCTGCTGGAAGAGTATGCATAGCCTTCTCTGGCCCATAGCTGACGCTATCTGCCCCTTCCTGATCTTTAACACCCCCTCTTTCACATCATAAATGATAGATAGGCTTCTGTAAAAAGTAATTCAGATATCTGAGGAACTGGTTATCAACCTGACTGATATTTATTGTGAGGTATGTGACCTCATCCTTAACCATGCTTTTATTTAAAGAACACCACAAAACTATTGCTTTATCTGGATGGATGATGGAACATGTTTACTCACTCACTGCGATCTGCAGGTCTCTGGATATTTCAATTCCATTTCTTTCCTTTCCGTAATATGTATAGACAGGCATGCTCCGTGCAGAGTGGCAAGCATCGCTTCAGAGGTCCCGGGTAGTTACTGTTTTTTAGATTTTTTATTCAGGTGACGCTGGTGTGTTGGGCAGGCAGGCAGACTGGCCGGTTCTGCACCACTTGGTGGTGAACTGGTGTATGACAAGCTAGATGTTATCTAGGTGCCTCAGGAAAAAATATACCTTAGGGTGTCAGTAGGCAGGAAACACGCTCTTTGTGAGGCTTTGTTACGCTGGTGTATTGGGAAATGAGTAGGCTGATAGACTGGCCGGTTCTGCACCACTTGGAGGTGAATAAATGGATGACAAGCTAGATGTTGTGACAACATTTTGTGAGCTACTGAACAGTGCAGAGGTACAAATAGATCATTACGGTTGGAGGAGCATTGTGCCACGAGGAGTTACTTGGGTATCTGGCTGATGCTCAACGCTCAAGGGAAAGAAAACAGGTACTGGAACTCTTCCCTTGCTGCTGAAGATGGTGACGGCGTACTTTTGTGAGTGTCCTGAGTGCTGTGATATCGATCCTTAATTCAACATTTTTTCACCGTCCGTAAATTATTATACTGGCAGCAAACATCAAAATTTTCTAAATACCTGTAGCCTATTTGGCCACTATCCTGCATGTGCATTCAAGCACTAGGGAAATAATGGATCCCTGTGAGAGTCTTAGTGCAATACAGCAGGGTTCAGAGCTACATGAACACAGGCAAAAGCAATCTGACATCCATTCAAAATCACACCTTCATATCTTTATGTGTGTACATCCAAATGTCACATCTAACACTTGTATGCATCTTTTACATCCAGTGCTCTACTAGTTTCATCCATATCTTGAACCCCACATTTTTACCATGAGCCACTATCACAGCATTTACCGAAGTTCTTTTTCTCAGCTGGTAACATCCCAGTAAGGCAGTATCAATCTTTTTTTTTCTTTTAACCACTTATTTTGAATTTCATCTACTTTAAGAACACTTCTGATAGCTTACAGAGAACAACACTGGGGGAAATTTTGGAATGTACACCATCAATGAAATTCTTTTTCTTCACATACACTGGCTGTTAATTCCACAGGAAAGTTCTGGTTGTTTGTCCACTTCTGGACTCTTAGTCTGTTCCAGAACCTGAATGTCAGGTGCACATCCATTTTACAGATAGGACTTTTTGGTATGCAGACTGCTGGTTCCTTGCCTCTCAGGCTAATGCACTCTGACTTTGAAGGAAGCTCCAATTCGTCCCGTCTTACAACATGCTTTTGGGCAGACAGTGGGTCTATTCTTGTTTTCCCCACAATGGGGCCCTGGAACCTACACTGGGATACCAATGAAAATAATGATTATTATAGCAATGTATGAGTGTTCAGAGTGAGCAGTGAGAACAAATAATGGTTTAAATAATTGGTTTGCAGTGAAACTAAAGTAAACAAAATTGCATTTTATCTGCCCTGTCACTTGGCATATCCACTGACTGGGTGATGAGTCAGTACAAATAATAATGGCAAAGAAAAGATGCTTTAGTAAATTTAGCATCATTAGCATCAAAAGCTGGACTAAACAAAAATACAAGCACACTCACACAGGCAGGCACAGACACACACACACATATATATATATATATATATATATTTTGAAGATACCAACAACAGATCAAGCCAATGTGATCATGGAGACAAAATTAAGTAAAACAACAGATCAATTGACCTTTTTAGGCAGTAATTATGATATGAATTTTTTTTTAAAGTGATTATGTCATGCACTGGCAAGGCAGCAGCTTTTAAATGTCTGAATAAAATAAGAATTCTAAATTGCGTAGTTTTAATAACAATCTTCTATTTTCAATTCTAATGTTATTTCAGGCGTAACTTATGTCAGTGGAGTTGAGCCAAGAATTGATATCACAGCACTCAGGGCATTCCCATGCATGCTCTGTCCTCATCTTCAGCAGCCAGCGCAGAGTTCCAATACTGATGGTACCGGTCACAATCTGGTTATATGTCAATCTTTCCTTTCCTCTAAGTGTAGTGAGCCGGCCAGACCCTCTGGTTACGCCCAGGTGCCTCATTCTCTCCAGGCCATGCTTCTCTACTGATTCCATTGCTTGTTCACAAAGGGCCTTGACCACATCTGCCTTGTCATGTATCAATTTACCACCCAGTGGTGCAGATCCAGCCAATCTGTCTGCCTGTTCATTACCTACTATGCCGGCATTACCTGGAGAAGAGATCCAAAGCATGCTCACTAACTAAGACCTTCCCAGTGAAGCTTGCCAATTTGCTCAAAGCATCCCTGTCTTCACCTTTCTCAGCATGCCTTCAGAGTCTGTTACAATTACAACATGCCACCGAAGAGCTGCAGTTACCGCCTCCAGTGGAAAACTGGAGAACCACTTAAGACAGGGAACAAACATTCAACAACATAAAATGGGACGAATTCAAGAAGCGGGAAGAAATAAGAGAAATATCTGGACAATAAATGCTAACAACAGTTATAAGACAAAGAAGATGGTGTTATACTGAACTAATCCTGAAAAGAAAAGAGAATCACCAAGCAGGTACTAAAATAGGTAATAAAAGGATCAAAGAAGTCAGGACATTCATAATAAACCCTAAAATCAATGTTGATGAAAGGTGGCTGAAGGTACCGGACCTAATTTCATACATGATATCAAAAGGACTGCACAGGACAGAACAAAATCGAGGAATAGACTACGAGCCCTTTGTGACATATAAAGGCACAACCGGGCAATGCTGATAATGATTTTTCGGTAGCGAGGTTCACTTTCTTTTTTATGCCTTGATTCACTGGAATACTTTTGTATTTTAACTAATGCATATGCTTTACTCTGGTTACCTGATATAAAATGCCAAACTTGGTCTTCCAGCACTTGTGTTATTACGATGAGTTCCCATGTACAATGGTTTCTCTAAATACCTACGTGGTATGTTCACTTCATCTATCACCTCCTGTACAATGGAATCGAAAATCTCATCAACAACTGCACTTCTGTCCATTGATGACACATCAATCTCTTTCAGAAGTTTATTACCAACAAGTTTCTAGAGAAGAAAACATATTTAAAAACATTACTGCATCAATCAAACTAGTTTTTGTTTAAATGGCTTTTCCTGCCAAAATAAACCACACAAACAATTAAGGCTATTTCTGTTTCATTTATACTATCCTTAATATGATGACATTAAATTCTTATTTTACCATGTGCTTCTTGAAGATGCCTAAAATTGCCAACATGTACCAAACATCATTAGAGTGTAAATCATTATCTAGGCAACTAAAAAAAACAATTACAATGAAGATGTACTGAAAGATACAAGCATACTAATTTCTTAATCACAAAAATAATAGTATCAAGTACCATTTAGAGGTTGCGGTACTTTATTTTTTACTTACCCCATGAAATCACAATGACGTCACGGGAGACATTCAAATAATTTTCAGGGTGGTAAGGTTGGGGTTTTTCCCATTTCTAGAGCGCACGCAAAAGCGTGCGTCTGGCGCCTCTTATGGCGTGTGTTTACCGCGCGTCAGCAGTCTTCAGCTTTGCTGCATCTTGCTGCAGCAGTCTTAATGTTTGTTTGCCGTTTGTTCTAGCAGTCGCCATAAATTTTCTTCAGTTAGTAGCATCTGTGCGAGACAAAGAGACCAGCATTGCCTTCCTGCAACAGCATGGCATTCTGCACAGAACGAGACGTTGCAGAAACAACCATCAGATGGTGTTATCGCTGTCGGAAAGACACGGCCATTGGTGGTGTCGAAAGTCTATCTGTCGTCTGGACATAGCTGTATGGCAAGGAACATAGTTGGAAGGGTTGCGCCTCCCTACAGACAGATCATTCTGTTTATATACTGCTGGTCTCATGAGATGACCAGCATTCAACTTTGCCAAGTAGAGCTGAGCATGTCGCCGACTGCGACTGTGGAATGGAGCAACTACTTACGGGAGGTTTGTGCCAATACTTTGTTATTAAATCCTGAGAGAACACCACTCTTGAAATTGATGAAAGTCTGTTTGCAAGATGCAAAAATCATGTGGGACATACGTTTCCACACTTGATATTTGGCGGAGTCTGTCGGGAGACGGGCGATTGCTTTCTGTTCTGAATCCCAGACAGAAAAGCAGAGATGCTTCTGTCAATCTTTAGCGCAAATTTAAGACCCAGAGTGACAGTAGTTTCCAACATGTGGCTTGCGTACAATGGAATTGATAATATTCCTGGACTGACCCATTTTACTGTCAATCACTCCATTAAATTTTTCGACCCCATCACAGGTGCTCATACGCAATGCATTTAACCTTTGTGGAAGTCAGCAAAGGAGAGAAACAAATGCAAGAATGGGACCTACACACATTTATTAGAATCTTACATGTGTAAGTTTCTGTGGTGCAGACGCGCTCAATGTGCGGGTCGCGTCGTGCTTGCGATCATACTGGCAGACAAAGTTAGATTCTGGCCTCCGCAAGACCACTAGTCCGTCATCTCTGCTGCTGCTGCCACCGCAGTCCGACCTCCATCCAGATCTACTAACGTGTAAAAGACATAATCAGACAGGTTTGCATCCTGGAGAACATTAGGCGAGGAGAGAAGTGGGTCAAGGTGCCAGCTGAACAGTCAGATTTGTGTAGTCATAATCACAATGAGCCGAGAATGCGAGAGAGTGGCCAGCAGGTGCCACGGAGGTGGAAATTCAGCAATTATTTCAAGATAATGCATATTCAGAGGATGTGATTATTTATACAGATGGTTCAGTGTTCAATGGATCAATATTCAGCTGAGGTCATGCTAGTTCAGTAAATGTGCGACGTCACATTTGCCCTGTCCTGTTAAAAAATTTAAACACCAAGTCAACGAGAAGGATAGCTGTATGGTGTTTGTGTGGCTCGAGCATGTTTAATACATCTATATTCCTGTGTTCTGGTATACTTCTGTGAGTATAAGTATCCTATTATAGGAAAAGAATAGTGTTATCCCTCTATAAGTTGGCAGAGGTAGACTATCGCTGTCACTAGAGAGCAGCTCTGGACAGACCATTGTTTCTTTCTAACCTCCCAACTGCCTATGGCAATCCTGGGATTGTTGCAGACTTATGCAGTCTATAAAAGCCTAGCGCAGACCTCAGCCATTACATTATTATGTGGATATATTGATGGGGGTGAACAGGGAATAGTGATTGCTAACTCTAGTTTTTCTCTTTGTTAGTAATATCTGGAGGCCCAGTCGACGATCATTATCCTAGCGCTATCCAGCGTAACCCGCAGCCAGCTTACAGGGTGAACAACTCAGTCCTGTCCATGCACCATGTCAGTGGCTCCATAGCTGACAACTGTCTGTTGTGCTGGGAGGTGCATCATCAGCTTGTGTATCCGCCTCAAAGCAAATGGATGTCGCTTAGTGCAGCAAAGCCTGCCATTTATCACAACGTCTAGTTTAAGAATGAAGGTGGAGGCAGTCACTGCTGCCTTCCGCTGGCCTGAGAATCAGATGTACACAAATGTCGTAATTATTACTACCTAAAAGAGCATGTTGAGAAAGGGGGAGACAGGCATGCTACATGCAAAGTGGCAAGCATCGCTTCAGAGGTCCAGGATAGTTAGCGTTCTTTGGAAATTTTCTCCAGGTCATGCTGCTGTGATAGGAAACGAGTAGACAGACAGAAACTCTTGGTGGTGAATTAACGTGTGACAAATTAGATGTTGTGAGGGCGCTTTGGGAACGACTGTGGAGGCACAAACAGATCTTTTCAGTTTGAGGAGAATGGCACTGCGAGGAGTTACTAGGGGATCTGGCCGACGCTCAATAGGGGAAATGCGAGACTGATATACAATCAGACAGTTACTGGATGCAATCGACTTCGCAGACATGTGTACACAACATTTAAAATCAGTGAATCAGACATGTGCACATGTGGATTGGCACCTGAGAAAACAGATCAAGTTCTCCAAGACTGTCCCAAATTCAACATATCAAGGCCAAGAGAAACATCGGTGCAAGTCAAAGTATCCGGGTTGCAGAGTGAATTACAAAAGACAGAAGCTAAGATACCATCTGGACTTGAAGCCTTCCTTCAATACAGTAGATTGATAGCCTTCCTAATTTTTCCCAATTTCCTCTTCAGATAGTATCTCACAGTTGATATCCAGTTCCATTTGGAACTGGATATTTAGAGGGACCTCCTTCTTATTCTTTTAAATGATTTTGCCTATCTGATCTTTACTGTTGATGAGAACCTTTCCTTTACTATTTTTGACTGATCCAGTTGGTTAGACATAGAGAAGAGGAGAGCAAGGCTAGGCTTGGGTCTTTGAGGGTTCGTAGGAAGTTTAGTCTGCTCTAGACTAGGGCAGATTAAAAGACCCATATTTGAGAGCTAAAGAGATGCTAGATAACAACATTTAGAAAAATGAAATGCTAGTTGTCAGAGTAATTAAAAATTAGAAATAGCTGTTAAAGAAAATACTACTGGGATTTGATCTGACTGTATACAAACTGTCTTTGAAACTTGGTTTTATATTATTCATTTCTTCTGAACAATAAAAAAGTGAACTTTCTTACCACACAAAATTTTTTTTCTAACCTTGATTACCATGTTTTCATTTACTGTGTACTTGAGACTCTGTGGGGGTGGGTTTATGACATGATGGTAGTAGTGGAAGATGAGGCTGGGGTGGTGATTTTTGTAGTGGTGTGTGGATGGAAATAATCATTGTACCAGGAGAAGAAGAGGGAGGAAAAGAAGCTGCTCATTAAATAATAATTCTGTCAGTCTCTGAGGTTTCTTTCGCTGACTATACTTCTTGTACAAATCCCTTTTGTTGCAGCTGTCACCCTTGTTTTCATTGCATCTGTGGAACAATCACATGTAAGACATCACAGATGCCTAGTTCTAGTAGCATACTGATTGGACAGCAGTTGTTACTAATAAAAAAAGAAAAAACCAACAATATTAGTTCAGTATAAACATTAAATAAAATAGTATACCTTTGGTTCTGCATGACCTCCAGGAACATCCCACATAGATGGTGCCTCAGCACAATGTTTACTTCGCCATAATAACACAAGGAAGTTGTCTTCAGTTACAACACTAGCTCCCACACCCAAGGCATCTGATAAAAACGCTTGTGAGTTTCCGTGTATCTCAATGCCTTTTTGTTGCAAATTTTTTACATTTGGTGCCCAGTTTGTACCTAAATACTCTTTATAATCTGTAATTCCCAGATACATGATCACACGGTCACCGTCATCTGTACTAGTCACGTGATGAACTCTGAATTTTGTTCCATTAAATAAACTAGGATTCTGCTGCAGTCTCTCTATCCAAATTCGTTCAATACGATCCAGATCAGTTGTTCTAAGATCATGATAATCAGTATCACTAATGACTGTTGCTATCGACGAACTGTCACTGTCTGTCTGTATTCGTATATCTTCTTCGATAATCATATTAACATGAAGAAAATCTGGAATCTTTCTGTTATATTCCGAAGATAAATAAACAGTTATCGATTGTGATGGTTTTAGTTCACAAACTTTAACTATGTGCGATATCTGGATATCTGGAGAACGTTCGCAATCCATTGTGATTCAATTGTAACCAAGCAATTATGTAAACTAATTATTCAGCTAAGCTGTTACTAAAATACTGCTATACTACTATTATTAGTTGTAGTAGGTACAGACTGTACTACAGTTAAGGACCCTTTCCCACGCCTTTCGGATTTAGAGTAGTGTCTTAGTCACGGCTTTCTCTTTTCACACAGCCGGACGAGGTCTTAGTAATTGATTATTTAGACTTTTATCAAAATAAGCAAGAGAACATAAATACTGATCACAAATATTATGAATAGCTTCCCTTCCTTAGGTGGAGGTAGATCATTGTTCTTGTGCTGCCCTAGTTGGGACTTTCGTACACGTTTGACCCCAGCCGACTGACTTTCTACCCCACTAGGACATCACACAAGCGATAAACACCCGATGACACAAAGTGCCACCATGAGGATGAGGATCACCGTGGAGAGGTCCCAGAAACCGCGTTGAGACAACTGGCCATATTTATGGCCTGCCTATATTGCGGCCCCTGGTAAAAGCCAGGGTGGGGCTTCAAATAACAAAAAATTTCGTTCTAAAAAGGACGAAACACCTATAATGTTCATAACCCATGCCGAGCAAAACTGTACTTTTAATACCATATTCTGTCTTTTGGTACATTCTATAAATGTTGCTTCAATATTTCAATTTTGACATTGTCTTTTGTCCATTTTCTGTTTTGTGCCCTAGGCGTCGCAGTTCAACAGATAATCGGTTTCCGAGTTAGGGCACGCTCGGTTGCCGGTATGAAGATATGCTGTGGGGTCTCAAGATATCAATGATTCCTTTAATCCATATTTTTCTTTGTCGTCTCCTACCACTTTGTGATTCTATTTTCTGTTACTCTCAATGTTGCCACCTTTCTTTGACAAAAAACATCCAGAAACGGGTCAAAAATATCTAGGTTTGCGTGTGAAACATCTAGAAAAAACATCCGAATGGAAACAGTCACAGATTACATAGCCTTGATACGACTGACCCTATAGAATGTTCTCCTGATCTTCACTGATGTCTGTCTCACACGATACACAGGATAAACTTAGCTTGGATGATGAAACTAAAGCTTCAGATCCAAAAGGACTCTCATATGCTTTAGTTGTTCCAATTTCTTTTAATACACAATCAGGGAGTTGATAAGTTTAAACCCATTTCCCCACTATTCTATTCTGTTCTAAGTTGTAGCCCACAAGGACATCACATTAAGCGATAGGAACCCGGCGACACAAAGTGCCACCATGCGGATGAAGATCACCCGTGGAGAGGTCCCAGAAACCCCTTTCAGCAGTTTCGCCATATTTATGGAGCGGCTATATTCAGGGAACCCGGCAAAAGCCATGGTGGGGCTACAATAACGAAAAATTGCACCCCGCACGGGGACGACTAGATAATCATTTTCCTACTCTCATCAGGCCGAATCTATCTTCTTCTTCTCTTCTATATTAATAAAAATCTTAATTTTCCGGTGTCGTTAGCTCTAAACTCGGTAACTACTAAACCGATTGCTTTCAAATTTTCACACGACGTTGCCTCTGACTCAAAGCGTAATTTGTTTGTCATAAAATCGCACAAACCACGAACGACATAGCTCCAGCAACGGTCAAATCATTATTTGTTTTGTTGCCCACTCGGATGTATTTTTAATGAATTGGCCACCTTTGACTGTGTTACACCGACCTTTACATTATTATGATACACTTTTATTTCTAATAAATGCTTGAGTATTCAGTAGCGTAGTTAGTTGTAAGCAATTTTTTTTTTTGTTTTTGATCGGGTGATAGGAGTTCGATTCCCTGCTGGGTCATATAATTTTTTTGGGCCCCTAACTGGGTGGCTGCCACGTTTTGTTGTGGTTTATAGCTAGGCTGCAGTATCTACGCTTTTTCCCGTTTGATTTTGGGGTTTACAGCTAGCCTGCGATAGCGGCGACGTGATGCTCAATGTTCATGTCACGGGTAATATTCGTTCGCCCTTGAGAGGGCGGTTGGCACGTTGTGATGTGGTTTACAGCTAGGCTGCGATATCTGACCTAAAGTCTTCAGTCTTTGGTAGTAGAGTTATAAGTATTCCGCCCTTCACGTGTATAACGGGTGTTCGTTTCTCCGCTGGGTACTAATTTTTCTTTTTACCCCAAAGGGGCGATTGGCAGGTTATGTTGTGGTTTACAGCTAAGTTGCGACATCTGCGCCTTACGCCCAAAGACATCCAATTTAAGTACAGTCCACATTAGCCCCCCCCCCCCCCCGCCACTTCACTCGATCAAAAACTATTCGTCAATGACAGAAGCTGTTAAGTGAGAAGTCTTACGGCCCAGTTTGGTTTGTCAGAAAATCGTACAAACCACGAACGACCTAGCTCCAGCAACGGTCAAATCATTATTTGTTTCGTTGTTGGCCCGGATTTATTTTCACTTGATCGGCTAATTTTGGCTGCCGAGCTTTTATTGAACTTTGCTTTATTATATAATCCTATTTCTACTATCTGCTCGAGTGTTTGGTAGCGTAGTTGGTAACTATTTTGCTTATTATGCACGTGACCTGCGTTCGATTCGCCGCTAGGTGATATAAATTTTTTTTGCCCTTAACTGGGCGGCTGTCATGTCGTGTTGTGGTTTATGACTAGGCTGCGATTTCTACGCCTTTTTCGATTTTGGGGTTTACAGCTAGCCTGCGACAGCGACGACGTGATGCTCAATGGTCATGTCACGGGTATTCTACGTTCGCCCTCGAGAGGGCCGTCGGCACGTTGGGTTGTAGTTTACAGCTAGGCTGCGATATCTGACCTAAACTCTTGTCTTCGGTAGTATAGTTTTAAGTATTCCATCCTTCACGCGGGTGACCGGTGTTCGATTCTCCGCTAGATAATCTCATTTCCACTATCTGCGCGAGTGTTTGGTAGCGTAGTTGGTAACTATTTTGCTTTACTTTTGACATCTTAAAATGTTTTTCAAAGTGAAAGACACATATGAAGATGAACAATTATTTAAAAAAAAAAGATATAAAAAAGAACCACAATGTCAGCAGCACAGCTATATTTACAACACAGTTCGAACAAAGTTAATATTATTTACACGCGCTCTGAATCAGTACCGAGGCTGCCAGATTGTTGAGCGTTGACCTCAGTGAGTTCAAAGTTTAAGTAATCGCAGTTACCACAGTGTACGTGTCCAGACCAAAACAAAAAAATCTGTGATAAATATTTCATACAGTATTATTAAACTGTCACTGGAAGAAAAAAAAGTCTATATAATATCTAACTCCAAATGAAAAACATCTAGATTTAAATCTACTGTCTAGACGTCAAAAACATCATCTAGATGCAAGGGAAAACATCTGGGATGTAAAACATCCAAAGTGGCAACACTGACACACACACACACACACGAACTCACGCGCACACAGACAAACAGACAGACAGACAGACAGACACACACACACAGAGACATAAACGTTATTGTGTGTGTGTGCGTGCATTTAAAGACGTTAACGTTTTTTTTTTTTTTTTTCAAATAAAAAATTTAATAATTTGGTACCTCTTGGTGTGTTTTGGTACCTTTTCAAATAGCATTTGGTACTATTTACAAAATAATGTTGGCAACACTGAATTGTTTCCCTCCAGGATTGCATTTAGTAGGATTAACTCACCAAGGATGAGAATCCATGAACCCAGTTCCTCTTTATAAAACTTCTGAGGGAACCTGATGCTGCTCAAAGTCCGGACGGGACTAGAAACATATGTCTCTTCCATGTTTGCTTGCAGTTTGTCCCCTCCAGGAATGCATTCAGCAAGATTAACCCTTCAAGGATGAGTATCCCACTTATACAAACCCCGGTATGAATGATAGAATCAAGAATTGACATCACTGAACTCGGGACATTTCCACACGTGCTCCGTCCCCTTCTTCAGCAACCAATAAGGAGTTGAGAAGCTAATAGTACCAGCTGCAACCTGTTTGAAAGCCCTGTTTACCCTTCATTTTTAAATATCGTCCAGAACCTCTACCCCCCCCCCCCCCACCTGCCATTTAATTAGTCTTTTAGTGAGTTGATTCCCTATCTGTTCTTTTGCACCGTCCATTTGATCACCAGAGCCTCCACCAGATCTATTTTATCACAAAGTAGCTCAACACCCAGAGGAGCAGTAGCAGTTAATATATCAGCCTGCTGGTTACCTAAATCTCCTTGACAGAAAATCCACGATATGCTCTTGATCTGGATCTTATCAGATAATGCAAGCCACCTTGTGCGCAGGACACCAGTTTCAATTTTCTGAAGCATGCTGTGTGAGCCTGTTACAATTACAGCCTACAATTAAAAGGGGAGCTGCGTGGTCTGGAGACGTGGCATCTGTCTCAAGTGCTGGAGGTCCCAGGTTCAAGCCCTGGTAATGGTTGCTATTTTGTCTCGTGGACTTCTAGTAATTTCCCTGGTCTCTGGGTATTAAGATCGGACGCCCGTGTGTATTGTTGCAAACGTAAAAAATTTCTTGGCAACTGGAAATTGAAAAGAGTAGTCTAACGGCCCTGCCCGGGCAAAATTTAGAGTTTAAAATCTTCCCAAAGTATTTTAGGATCCTCCCCGGTGCTACGGAGTTCGTGCACTGCGCTGAGATTCTTCGGACTCAGGCTTGAGTCAGAAGTAAAACGGAACACTGATGGGTTACTAACCTTGATGCCGTGATGTTGACCCGTCGTCTAAACCTAAACCTACAACATGTCAGGCTGTGCTGCCCTCAACCCATCGGAAAGCTGCCGTTTCTATCTCCACCTCCATTCTCAAACTGGATGTAGTGACGCTCTTTTCAAGCAGTGTCCATTCACCTTTGCAATAAAAGCCCACCCAATATTCTTAAATTTCAATACAATACCATCCATATTTATTATGATGTCGCTTGCTTCATTGATCAGCTTTTGCACCATTGACTGTTTCACTTCCAAGGTAAATACTGTGCAAGTCTGTTTTGCTGGGCGGCAGTGTAATTAATTCTTCGTCATG